ACTGACTAAGAGAGTTTTGGAGAGAGGCACTTTAATATCTTCAATTGTGTAAAAACCTTATAGGTAAGGCTTGGGAGAGGGAGGACTAAGAAGACCTTGAACTCTGCATGGAAGAAACTGTGGCCAGAATTTTAGACAAAAGGGATTTTGAAGTTAGAGGCCTAACCCTGAGAGGATAAATGGCTTGAGTAATCCATTGTGGCCATTGGGAAAGTCCTTGGGGTTGGAGGTTAGTGGGAGGATGTGGGAAGAGTTAGGGAGGATACAAGAAGAACTAACCACTGATGAGCTGATAATCAACTTTCAACATGCAAGAGGGCCAGACCTGAGGAAACTGCGGTTCAGAGGAGGGAAAGAGAGAAATTGAAGAAGTTGCCCTACTACAAAGATAAGAAATCGTGTGGCAAAGTGGAGCTTGAAGTGCAAACCTTCATTGATGAAAATAACCCTCACACAGCTATTGCAAGCCGTGTTGGCCACCTGGTACACTAACAAAAGTTGTGAAACACTTTAAGGGAAGTCAGAAAGAACGAGAGTAACAGGCCACTATGGACAGATATGTTGTGCGAAAGAAGTTCAGTGCTCTTAAGCAGGTCTAGTGCATTAAAAGAAAAGGAAGTAACCCCATAAAAGTGACTCGACACCTCAAGACTTAATGGAAGGGGATTCCCCTTCTAAACACTAACACACACTCTCCCCTCCTCCCATTCCCATCAAACAGTCACCAACTTCATAAAGTAAGTGTCCATGTCATTGTGCCTGCCTTTTTATCAGTTTGTTGTGTATTATAAATTAACATTTACATGTGGGTAAATATTTTTTTTTTTTCATAACTTTATTGGGTGTCTTGCACGGATTAATTTGATTCCATTATTCTTATGGGGAAAATTCATTCGCATAATACCGAACATTTCGGCATAACAAAAGAGCCCTCGTTTCACGGATTAAAATCACTATGGGATGCGGGTTCCACTGTATAAATAACAGAGATCCGCTCAGGTAATCTCAGCTGTAGTCAGACTACAGATATTGCTGACTCCAGCTGGCCTGCCTAGCATCTACACCATCCTATGCAGAACACAGCTTTCGCTGGCAAGGATTCACATGCACGCAAGCCAGACCACCGGCTTGCCAAAGGAAACTCTTGTTTGGCGAACTGCAGCATGGAAAGGCGCAGACTTAAGGACACACCCTTAGACTGTCGAAAGCTTTCAACATCAACCACACCATGTGGGAGCTGATAGCTCAGGACAGGAAGGACTGGCGAGCAAGTTTCCAGAAAGGGGCAACATCCTGCGAGGCAATCAGAAACTCACTAGCTGAGCAAGCAAGGCCAGCGAGGAAGACCAGAGCCATCAGACCCCTCGATGCTGCCACTTCTTCCTGTCCACACTGCAGAGTAACCGTTCGTGCGCTTGGATTGGCCTGACAAGTCGATCTGCATACCCACCAACTTCGACCCCAGGATGACTAGATGTCCTCGTCGAATCGACGGACAACAACATGTTGGCTGGGCATCATTTAGATTGTGAGCACAGTTCTGGGAGGATAATGATTAGGTGTATAAATGGAAAACAGGAACAAAGGAGATGTAAATAATGTGCTAAAAAATTTCTAACCAAAATCAGACTTGCAGCAATGGTTCCAGTTGGAAAGAAATTAGAAAGGATATAGTGAAAGCCCTGCTTGGGTAATATTTGTGGTGAGTGGAACACACCTCCTGTAGTACATTATTGAAGCTAAAGTGTAGTGTCAGTTTTAAAAATAGGTTAGACAGATACACGAGTGGGTGTGAGATGGACCTGACTGGCTTAGACCAAGTAGCGTCTTTACTACCTAGCATGGCCAGTAAGGCCAGTTGCAGGTCCTTCTTTCTTAAACCTCCAACTACCCACATTGGGCAATTACAGTCTCCCTCAACATTCACGTTTTCAGCTTTCGTGGGCTTCACTACATTCGCGCATTCCAACCGCCAAATCATATTCAAGTTTTCCCCGCCACCTTCGAGTCGCTACTATACCCTCCCACCTGACCCCCCGCAACTGGCAGCCAGCCCTCACCGACTCAGAGTGGTGAGTTGTTTTTTTGTTCATTATTTGCTATTAAACTGCAGTATAAATAAAGTATAACCCATTCATGACTGCATATTGGAAATGGTTTTTTCCGAAGTTATTAGACAGTGACATGGGTTTACTCTTGAACACAGCAAAGAATCAAAAAAACATTTGCTGCTACTGCTAATAATAACAATAGTAATAAAATAATAATAATAATAATAAAATACAAATAATGGAAGAAGTAGAAGTTGTACAAAAATACGAGGGAGATGGATGATCACATCGTCAGTGTGGCTTTGTTTATGCTGGAGGTGAACATAGTCTCCCTGCCCTAATAAACATTTCACAATAATTCATTGTGTTTGGTTCTTGTAGATTGAGCTGCGACTGAGTGGGTAGAGGCAGTGTTGATGCAGCGTGTTAGAGGCAGCGATTGTTGGTGCAGTGGTTGGAGGCAGCTATTGAGGCAGTGGTGAGAGCAGCTGTGTGAGGCAGCTGTTGAGGCAGTGCTTGAGGCAGTGCTTGAGGCAGTGGCATGAGGCTAGTTGCAATGAGGCAGATCATAGGGCAGCTGTGAGGCAGCTGTTGAGGCAGCGATTGAGGCAGCTGTTTGAGGCAGCGATTGAGGCAGCTGTTGAATGCAGCGATTGAGGCGAGTGGTGAGCAGCTGTTAGGAAAGCGATTGAGGCAGCGTTGAGGCAGCTGTTGAGGCACCTGTTGAAGCAAAGCGACTGAGCAGCTGGTGAGGAAGCGATTGAGGCAGTGGTATTTAATAACATACATGTTATAATAATAATAATACATGTTATTAATATGTACAAATATTATTTATAACAAATATGTTATTTAAAATACCACAGCCTCAACCGCAGAATTATTGTGAAATGTGTTGGAAGAGCAGGGAGACAAATGTTCACTCCATCATATAACAAGCCACACTGACGATGTGTCAACCACTCCCCTCTTATGTTTTGTACTATTTCCTTCCATCAATTATATCGTATTATTATATATTATTATTCTAATGTTATTATTAGCAGTAGCAAAATGTTTGATTTCTTTGCTGTGTTTCAAGACTAAAACACATGATGTCACACGTCTAATACCTGTCCGAATATGCCATTCCAATATGCAGTCATGAATGTGTTAACATTATTTATACTGTAGTTTAAAAGCAAATAATGACAAACAAAACACGTCGCCACACGAGTGGGTGGGAGGTCTTGGCTGCCCAGTTGCTGGGTCGGAGGGAGGGTAGTAGTGGACTCGTAGTGGTTGGGGAAGTGGGAGGAGGCATTGGTGGAGTCTGTGGTATTTGACAACATACATGTTATTAAAGCATAACATGTATATATTTAGTACAATATTACGACGCTTTCAGTATTTTATGATGTTTCATGTTCAACAAGTTTAAGGAAGCAGTATTGTAATATATTTCCCCATACGGGAAGAACTAAAAGCCATAAATGAAATCGCAAGAAACCCAAAGTATTCTTCCTCCATGCCAAATCAAAATCGAGAACACGTCCAGTATTGGGCCCCTACTTAAAACAAGATGGGTCCTACACAGATGACAGCAAGGAAATGAGTGATCTACTCAAGTCCCAATATGACTCAGTTTGTAGCAAGAGCCGCTAACCAGATGAGGGAAGTCGAAGATCAAAATGAATTTTTTATGAGAGAGACATTACAAAATTGATTAAATACATAGCCTACCTATGTATGCCAGAGGCCCAAATGACTTCGAACAGGCGATAAATACATGTCCCATTGCACTCTGGGCCCAGGCCAGACTCATTGAACACTGTGTTCACCCAAGAACTCAAGAAGCCCCTTATCACGAAGCCATTTCCATCCATGGAGATGGAGCATGGACAACAGGGGTCGTCCCACAGTTACTAAAAACAACAGACATAGCCCCACTCCACAAAGGTGGCAAGTAAGCAACAGCAAAGAACTACAGACCAATAGCAACTAACAACCATAATCATAA